AATATTTTTGGAAGTGCAAGTCTGAACCTGCTTCTTGGGGAGATTTTGTTATGGTAATGGCAGCTGTGACGCAGAGCAGAGTGACGTAGCTAAGTTAGGAAAGGCAGATGATCTGGCAGATGATCTGTGACTGTTTGCTGCTAACTCTTCAGAGCTCTCTCAGTGTAGTCACTTCTTGTGTGGCTCATGGTTGCAGTTCAAGGGAGAGTTACTGCTGTGGAGCCTACATTCTAACTGTTAAGTTTTCAGTGTACCATAAAATGATAAAGTAGCTCTTTGCATGAATTGGGCATAAAAATTTGGGTTCATTATGTATGGTATGCAGAACAGCAGTTCACCCTTGGACCTCCTTGCTACGTAGCTGGCCAGTAGTCCTACAACTATCCCTGTGCTTGTTGCAGCCGGTGGACACTGAGTGAGGCTCCTGTTCACACTGTGGACCCTCTCGTGTCTGCAGAACGCATCCTCAACCACAACAGCACTGATGATGGCACCTTGCACACATATATTATGAAGTGAGTCCTGGTTTTTGTATCTCTGATGGATTGAAAAGAACTTTTGAGTTTGTCATGGTGTAATATTTTACAACATTTCTGTCTTACAGATGGTTGACTGTAAGTGCTGATCAGATTGTTGTACTGATACTCCTTCTAGCATTAGCAGTCAAATTTGTACTGTTTGAAAACCGCGAAGACCAGCTTCAAGTTTCTTCTGACAAAATGGCTTCTGTTGCTGATCGCAAAGAAACTAGTAGTGGTAAGTCACACACTTCAAGTATACTTTCCTTTTTGAAAAGTCATACAAATTTCACTATCTTTCTAACAAACTGTGGTGTATAAAATTTGAATAGATGGTCAAACGAGAGGGAGGGTAGTTTGGTGTGACATTCGACAAGATTCGGATGAAAACTCTACCGAAGACAAGGAAGTTCAAACAGAACTACATGAGGCAAGTGTTCCACCAAATTTACCTGTGATTGTCACACCATCAAGTGAGTATTCTGCAAAGGTTCCTCAAGAAGAAAATACTCAGACTGAAGAAGATGCGCCCCCTCGACCACTAGAGGAGTGCTTGGAAATTTCAAAAAGGGTATGGTCATATTTTTATTTTGTCTAGTTTACACTCACAATCATAACAAAATTTTGATTTAAAAATTTTATTTTATTTTTAGGGAGATTCAGCTAAGCTCACTGACTCTGAAGTGGCTAATCTTGTTTATGCTAACCATATACCAGCATATTTGATTGAAAAGGAAGTTGATAATCCAGAACGTGGGGTCGGAATTCGCCGCATGGTTCTTGCAAAGAGAGCAAGTTTTCAAAAACAACTGTCAAATTTACCTTACAAGCACTATGACTATAGTCCTGTAAGTAATGCTAGAACTTCTACTCTTTGTCATAGAATTTGTCCTTTTGTGTAAACCAAGTTTTCTCATTCAAGGTCATGGGAGCATGTTGTGAGAACGTAATTGGCTATATGCCAGTTCCTGTTGGGTATGCTGGCCCACTAAATCTTGATGGAGAACATATCTATGTCCCTCTAGCCACGACAGAGGGTTGCCTAGTCGCAAGTACTAATAGAGGCTGCCGTGCACTTCTAGAGTGTGGTGTTAAGTCTCAAGTAGTAGAGGATGGAATGACACGTGGACCAGTTGTGCGTTTGCCAACAATGCATCGTGCTTATGAAGTGAAACAGTGGATTTTTGAAAACTTTGAAGTGTTGAGGCAGAAGTTTGATAATAGTAGTCGCTTTGCACGTTTACAAAAGATTTCAGTTCGTATTGCAGGACGCTCACTGTACATGCGTTTTACTGCCAGCACTGGTGATGCTATGGGAATGAACATGTTGAGTAAGGTAAGTCAAAGTTATCATGTGAAAGTTTATTTAGTTCCTCTGTCAAACAAGGTAGATGCAAGTTGTTCAGTTGACCGTATTTTTATGCAGGGTACTGAATTGGCTTTAAATGCAGTACAAGAAATTTTTAAGGATATGGAAATTTTAAGCCTCAGTGGAAATTACTGTACTGACAAAAAGCCAGCCGCTGTAAACTGGATAGAAGGTCGGGGTAAATCAGTTGTATGTGAGGCCATAGTCCCTGCCAAAGTTGTTAGAGATATTCTGAAAACATCAGTGGCAGCTCTGGTAGACGTCAATACCAGCAAAAACTTAATTGGCTCTGCTATAGCTGGCAGTATTGGAGGGTATAATGCGCATGCAGCAAATCTTGTGACAGCCCTCTACATTGCCACTGGCCAAGTAAGCAAAGCACTTTTCAATAATTTGTTGCCGCTAATAATACTCCAGTGAAACTTATAGAATAGTATTCTGTTTTGTTATTATAAGGATCCTGCTCAAAATATTGGAAGTAGTAACTGTATTACTTTGATGGAACCATATGGCCAAGATGGGGAAGATTTGTACCTATCTTGCACTATGCCAAGTCTTGAACTAGGTACAGTTGGTGGAGGAACAGTACTTCCTCCTCAAGCTTCCTGTTTGGAGATGCTTGGGGTAAAAGGTAAGATCTCACACTTTTCCAATTAAATAACTAGCGAAACTATAAGGCTTTCATTTTGAAATTGTAAACTTACACCACACTTGGGAATTATAGGACCCAACCCCATGCCGGGTGAGAACGCTCGTAAGCTTGCCCGTATTGTGTGTGCCACTGTTTTAGCAGGAGAGTTGTCTTTGATGTCTGCTCTCACTGCAGGGCATCTTGTTAAAAGTCATCTTCGTCATAACAGGTAAGTTTTAGTCCGTTTTTCATGATATACTATTACATAGAGTTATATTTACTTTATTGTATCTAATTTTTTGTTTTCATATTACTTTTACTTTAGGTCCACTACATGCTCTGGTCCTATGGCATCATCACCAATGATGCCACAATTCTTGACCCAGAGTGCTCCTTCCACTCCTGCTTTCAAAGTTCGACAGTGCAGTGGTTCATGAAGCAGCAGCTCTAAATCTCTTTTGTCTTCCTGGTGGACCAAATCTTTTTCATTGAAGGAGTACCTATTTTTGTGCCCTCACTTTTCATTGTAAACAATTCAGACCGCATTTTTTTTGTAAAGTTATTGTTGTTTTCTTTTGCTGAATTTATGAGCTTATCTATTGTTGAGCAGGCGCGGATCCAAGGGAGGAGGCGTTCGCCTACTAGGTAGTCAAAAAGTGTGCCCCCCCCCCCCACACCAACCTTTTAAGGATGGATCTGGATCCGCTTCTGTTGAGTCAGCCTACACTACTTGTCTCTGTTATTGCAGTTGTACAAATTTAGATTTTAAAAAACTTAGGGTACTTATGTTAATTTAATTTATTTAAAATTGTTATTTTACACATGAAAAGTCAATGTGGAGGTTAATTAGGAATGTCTTATTTCCATTACTGTTTCTTTGTGAGTGTCTAGTTTGTCTTGCCTTCTTTACTTTTAATTAAAAGTGTCACTTTTAGTTTTTCAAAAAACCTTAAACACACATTTTTCTCAGTGACTATATTTCTCCTCATGTTTAATCTACCCATGAGAATACTGAATGCTTGGACAATCTTACTGGTTTGCATCTGTGCAAGATCAGCATGTTTTCTGATGTACTGCTGCTATGTTTCTTTCTTCTCGTGATGTGATTTAATTTTCAATTCACTTTTATTACAGTAGTTTTGTTTAGGATTTGATTTCTGTTTATATATAACCATTGTTTAGACCAAAGTTACCAGCATGGATGTGAATAATTTTTGGATGCTGAGTAATAATGTAGATGTTGGGTAAGGGTTGTTTCTGTAGTTTTATGAAATGACAATATTTGTCCTGCAAGCATGATTGCAAAACTTAACACACTGTGTGCCATTCAGTGTATGAAATCCTTTTTTAAGGAAGGACTTTGCTTGCTGTGATGTTTATTTGCAGTAATCTTAGTATCTTGGTCAGTAATCAATCAAACATCAAAATACCGTCTAATTTTTAAATTTTCCCTCAGACACTGTACTGTACTTGGAGACTATGCACCTGCAGTTTGTGAATAAGTCAATTCCCTAGGGTTTTTAGTAATAACTATAGCATGTGGCCATGAGGTGGGCTTAGTCTGGATTGTTGTTAAAAACTAAGCTAGTGCAAGTCTTAGATAATGGATTGATTAAGTGGCAAGTATAGTTACCATTAGTGACTCATTTTGTAGCATTAATTTGAATTGGAGAAAATTATTACTACTTAGCAGACCTTTAATCCATGTCTAACCAATATTTTACATACATCAACTTTATGTTGTTTTTCTTTTTATGTTCTGGAAATTTATTAAAACTTTCTCTTTACTCTAGATGTATATTTAGGTTGACAAGGAATAGGATGGAAAATGAGATTCAAGACTTATCAGGGATATTTCAAAAACTTCAAAATAGCTAATAACCAAGAAATCTGTTTTTGGCCATAATTATTGGATAAGTCCCTGTATCCTTTTTGCATCATTTAAATATGTGCCATTTTTGGTTTAGGTGGGGTTTTTCTCTTCCTTTTTCTATTGGATACAGGCTTAGAACTGTAATATTGTATCTATTTATTTTAAATGTAAGCAGAAGGCATTGGTTTTCTTCTACCTATGATGTGATATGCTGTTATGTCTACATTAATTTTTCATATTGCCCATTGCACAATTTACCATGTGTTGTTACGCATGTGATGAACACAGGAGTTTGTAGAATTGATATCTGATCATTGCTGTTGAATTTTTAAGTCAGACTAACACCCCTCCAAATTGTTATGTATATAGTAAGAGATATATGCTAGGTTTTTCCTACATTCCATCTGGAACTATAATTTTGGAGATCGACTTTTTACACCTAAAGTAAATTCTCAAGTCACAAAACAAAGTAAATCAATCTGGCCATGTCTAGCTTCAAACAAAGAGACGGGTAGAGATTTCAAGTGATAATTATTCATGTACTTACATTTGATTGTGTGTATTATCTAATGGTTTCTCAAATTTTATACTTTACCTATGCATTGTGGTGTTGATTGTATTGTCATGAGCAACTTTTTAAAATGTAGCTCATATTTGGACTATTTTAAAAGTGCCAGTAGTACTTGCTGTTATAATTGTAGATTAGAATGTAGACAATGGAACTGTACAGAAAAGGTTATTGATGAAAATTAATGTTGAGCTTTTAAGTATTCTCCAAGACTGCGTCTGCACTGTTACAAAAAAAAATTGCAATAATATCAAGTCTATGTAAACCTTGCAATCTACCTTAAAAAATAAATTAAAAAAATCGGTAGTCACACTTTGCATAGAACAGCACCAAAGACATAATTCAAATCATAAGTGAAAAGTATGTGTAGGTAAACTAATGTTCCGAAGCAGGGAAGTCCCAGTAGTAACTCTGCCACAAACTGAGATAGTCTCAAGCTTTTAAGTTGTTCAAGTCAGCCAACTGCCGTTTGGTACTAAAGGTGCTACCACGGTGAACCAGAGAGAAGATTCTGTTCTCTGTTGGAATTAAACCATGTATTCATGATTAAACGTTCTCTTGAGCTATCGCGGCTATCGCGGCTATCGCATTGGGTGTTCATGGCGGGTTGGCCTACCCAGCGCACGTAGCATTCGTCTCGCTTATCGAGAGCTCCAGTTCTAGAAACCAGTTATTCTTCACTTTCGGGGTTAAAGTTTGGTCATCAAAACAATACAGTTCAAAAAGTATCTGACAATTGATTTTAAAACAACCCCCCCCCCCCCCCCCCTTACCCATGTACCTCATCGTACCTTGTTACATGAAACGATGCACGATGTAACACGGCCTTAGCCCTGGGGGCCCTAGCTTTGGCCTTGAAAATTAACTAACCATACCGATAACAAAAGCTGACTCGATTTGCACCAGCCATTTACACTTGATAAAACATAACCTCACATAATATTCATTCTAACCTGACCACAGCAGCAAAATACACAAAGAATGCAGATTTGTTGGAAACAGCGCCATCTGGATGCTTTTGTAGATACGCAGCGCCAGCCAGGCCCACTACTTCCGGCTCTTCCGAGCAGCTGATTGCAAGGCGAGAGTAGTTCTTACCCATTTTTGATAACTTTCTTCGTCAGATATTGCTATTTTCGCACTATAAATTACACCCACCGCAAATTTTCGACGTTTTGCAATGATCCTCAACATTTTCACGGTCGAACAGCACCCTACGGAAAAAGAATCTAACTAAGTCAGGTTAGGTGGCTCGCTTTCCGACTCGACGGTGCTGCCCAAGGTGGGTAGGTGGGAGAAAAAGTAAGTTTCTAAGGTTCCTTATTGAATCTAGATAGAATTTTGTAGATCTTATTGTATACCCAATTGAATGGCAATGGTGTATGGGATGGTTTGAGTTGACTTTTGGCTTGTACGGCATTGCAAAGCAGAAGAACTTTGATTATCAGGTCCGTACGTCGTGTTTTTGTTGATCTTTACTCACAAATGTACCATTTTTTTGCCATACTGACTGAACACTGTCAATAGACAGAAGTTCTCATCCCAATTTGCCTCTAGTTTGCCACAATTTTTCTCCGATTTATGCTGGAATTTGCGCAATTTTCTGATCTCAACACATTTTTGGATTCTAGAATATAAATATCCTGCTTTCGAAAAACATTGTTGCCCACTCTCAGCTGATTTATAGGAAAACATTCTGATACGTTATTCGGTACAGGTTATGTCGACGGGGGAAGTCGAGGTTTATTACCATTTACAAAACAGTCGTTCTAGTCAACTCGGAAGTGTGTGCCAACCCAATTCCCGTTTCTATTTGCCTACGATTTCTGGCTGATCAGTTTTACGAGCGGGATTAGTCTCCTCGTACCTCCTGATATTGAATGTTGACAGGTTAGAAACATTTATGTCCTTTGTTTTGGTTTGTTTTCTCGAACCAATTCCGATTAGAATTGATTTGTCTTGTCCGAATTTGAACTACTCACATGTGTCGCTATGCATAGTATTAAATAGCTTCTTTGAGTCTCGTGGCATGCTCGTGGTTAGGATATTTCTCATAGCACACAAGTCACCGTGTAATTACTTAACTACTGATTTGTATGATTTAGTTGTCAAGTTCCAGGAACTTTAGGAACTCTCCTGTTTGAAACAGGCCTGTGTAACTTTCTACAGTTCTGTTTTTGTGACAGTAGTACCCATTGTGATGCCCGACATAAATGCTTTGTTTTGTTTCCTTTTTTTTAAATTTTCAATGACCAACGTATTTGTTTCTTTTTCTATGTTTCAGAATGGTTATTTATCTACCTTTATTATTTGCGGATGGTAATCCAACAAGTTTGGAGAGAGCTACTGCTGTAAGTAGCCCTATTCAGAGGTTTTTAAAATTGTGATCGTTGTGTTAATGTTTTGTTTATGCCATTGGTGTTCTTAATTTCAGAGTCAGCTGGAAAAATTTATTCCATTTATGCTCGATTGCTGCCCAGAGAGAGCCCTTGTGAACACCTCTGATAGACCACCATCTTGGTGGCCATTTTCTACTCCCTACCAGATCCCTCTGAGCCCTAATTGCAGTCCAAAGGCAAGACTGATTCTTTACATTTTTTTCCTGAAGTTTTTCTGTCATTTATTCATGAAAACTAATTGAAAGTTTAATTTTAGAAATGGCTCAACAATCTCAAGGAAGTAATATGCAGATGTTACGAGTACCATGGATGCGAGCATGTACTCCGTTTTTGCTCTCGCCTGGCTGAACTTCCCCCTGGATTTCTCAGATATAAAGAGAACTCTCAAGGCTTTATAAGTATTTATAACAGAGCAAGCAATAAACTAATAGTAACTTTTAAAAAGAAAAATCAGGTTTGTAAACTTGTATGAGAAATTTGTGTGTCTGAAATTCATTGCCTCTATCTAAAGAAATTTCTATTTAGATATATGACCGTCCAGTAGGCAGTCCAGCGAAACCTAGCCTCCTACCTCGAAAGCCTAAAGGTCCACCAAGTGACCAACATATTGAAGACATATACCTTTGTAACTACTGTGATGAAGAATTCACCAGCGCCAAAAATGCTATTGTATGTATCAATTTGTTTCCTTTTCCTTTTTCTTCTTCTCATGTTATGTTAATTCTCTTTAGTTAATAAAACTAATCCCTCCCTGTTTTCATCTGTTTGTGATTGGACCTTTTCTTACCTCTTTCTGTTTGCAGCACCATGAGGGGGTCTGTAAAGGAAAAATTGATCAGGAGGACCAAAATCATGAAGTGGACCAGGTAATCACTTCTTCCACACTAACCAATTTTTTCAGAATATGTTAATTATGTAAATATATATTATGGTGGCTCTGTTACAGGTATCAGCAATGCGATACTTCGGGCTTGGTCCAACAGAATCTAATAAAAAAGAGGGAATACGGAATACATCTCTTCGTCTTACTGCCAGAAGCTATATGTCTATTCCAGTTTCATCTCCCTTAGGTCGAAAAATGAGCTCAAATGTAGCACCCTTGAAAGAAGTTGACAAAATGGTAAAGTAACTTTTGAATCCATTAATTGAAGAAAGATGCCATGTACTGTCGTATAATAACTTGTTGCACTCTTTTTTCTTGTAGGAGTACATTCAAAAGTTAGAAGGTTGTTGTGGCTCACGCAAGTTTTTGGATGAGCCGAAAAGAACACGAAAGTTTGGGGTTGTTCACCACAGAGCCCTACGTAAGAAATTTCAACATAGATGGACACATACATATTGTTTTAATAGAGCCCAACGCGAGGAAAGAAAAATCAACTTAGAGACAGGTACAGTTATTTTAGTTTTGTGAGGTATTTTAATAATCTTAACATTTAATCATTACTTCTTAGTTTCTAAATTTTTAGAAATATTTTCTTTTGTATGTTTTATTGACTTACTTTTTTATTTATTTCAATTTTTACAACTTGCAGGTCTAAATAAACAAGCTCGACTTCTTCTGAAAAAGTGCAAGAGAGCTGTTGTTCTTCTTGAGCGACTTCCCCTACTAGATCCATTAGCTTTGCATGCAGCTGCTGTTCTTGATTATCAAAACCGTTTAAATAGCCCTATATGTGAAGAACCAGTACATAATTTTATTGACTTAACAAGTGATGATGATTGTTGTGATAATGTAATCCGTAGAGAAAATTTTAGTTGTGAAGAAAGATCTTCTGATAGTTTTTTTAATAGCAGCTCTGACCACAAAAGACCTTCTATAAAGGAATGGAGTCCTGTTTTTCATAGATCACTGCCTCCTCCATCACTGCTCCCTATAGCCCCTGTATAGTGGATAAATGTATCCTTACTTCCAGTATTATTTGTTATCTAATTATCTAATTTTATATATTATGGAATATTGACTGATGGCATGAATTTTATTGTATACTCAAACTTCAATGGGGACCACAATATCCCCCCCCCCTTTTCCCCTTTTTTTCTCTTGTGGTGGCTTGGATGCAGCTCATAACATAGTTCAATCTGTACAGTATAGTTAGGTTTACAGCCACTTAAGGTGAAGAAATTTCAAAACCATCTTTTAATGATTATTTTTCAAAATTTACCTGATATTATCTTATTGCTTATTTTATTGATATGCATTATTGGAGATGCTTGCAATGCTCTGATTTGCTGAGGACACTGTTTTGTTATTAACTGGTTCATCCCATTTCATTTTCTTTATGCCGCTAATAAATTTTGGCAGTGTATTATAGACTGTGTTTTTGTTGCTATTCTATTTTTATGTTTTTGCTTGTACAACTAAATATCCAGATCACTTAAGTGAAACTGTTATAGATTATTCTTATGTCAAATGATTTTACGTTCTGTTTATTGCTAGATGTACATTGTTAACTTAGCAAAGTCCTTCCTCAGCGCCGATATGGTATTGCGTATTTGAAATGCATGTAAAAGGTTACAGATTTTTGACGCATTTAATGCGCGTAAAGCACATTATTAAGTGTGCGCGAAATGTGTTACCTTTCACTCTAATTTTCACGCGCATTGCCGCATTGGCGCCGCTGCTGGGACTTCTAAAAGACATTTAAAGAAAGTGAAGCACTGTGAAATAAAAAGATGCCTTCTAAGTAACCCTACTTTATTATTCTATCCTTTTCGAAAGCCTTGCCATGATTGATTATCAGGTCCGTACGTCGTGTTTTTGTTGATCTTTACTCACAAATGTACTATTTTTTTGCCATACTGACTGAACTCTGTCAATAGACAGAAGTTCTCATCCCAATTTGCCTCTAGTTCGCCACAATTTTTCTCCGATTTATGCTGGAATTTGCGCAATTTTCTGATCTCAACACATTTTTGGATTTTAGAATATAAATATCCTGCTTTCGAGAAACATTGTTGCCCACTCTCAGCTGATTTATAGGAAAACATTCTGATACGTTATTCGGTACAGGTTATGTCGACGGGGGAAGTCGAGGTTTATTACCATTTACAAAACAGTCGTTCTAGTCAACTCGGAAGTGTGTGCCAACCCAATTCCCGTTTCTATTTGCCTACGATTTCTGGCTGATCAGTTTTACGAGCGGGATTAGTCTCCTCGTACCTCCTGATATTGAATGTTGACAGGTTAGAAACATTTATGTCCTTTGTTTTGGTTTGTTTTCTCGAACCAATTCCGATTAGAATTGATTTGTCTTGTCCGAATTTGAACTACTCACATGTGTCGCTATGCATAGTATTAAATAGCTTCTTTGAGTCTCGTGGCATGCTCGTGGTTAGGATATTTCTCATAGCACACAAGTCACCGTGTAATTACTTAACTACTGATTTGTATGTTTTAGTTGTCAAGTTCCAGGAACTTTAGGAACTCTCCTGTTTGAAACAGGCCTGTGTAACTTTCTACAGTTCTGTTTTTGTGACAGTAGTACCCATTGTGATGCCCGACATAAATGCTTTGTTTTGTTTCCTTTTTTTTAAATTTTCAATGACCAACGTATTTGTTTCTTTTTCTATGTTTCAGAATGGTTATTTATCTACCTTTATTATTTGCGGATGGTAATCCAACAAGTTTGGAGAGAGCTACTGCTGTAAGTAGCCCTATTCAGAGGTTTTTAAAATTGTGATCGTTGTGTTAATGTTTTGTTTATGCCATTGGTGTTCTTAATTTCAGAGTCAGCTGGAAAAATTTATTCCATTTATGCTCGATTGCTGCCCAGAGAGAGCCCTTGTGAACACCTCTGATAGACCACCATCTTGGTGGCCATTTTCTACTCCCTACCAGATCCCTCTGAGCCCTAATTGCAGTCCAAAGGCAAGACTGATTCTTTACATTTTTTTCCTGAAGTTTTTCTGTCATTTATTCATGAAAACTAATTGAAAGTTTAATTTTAGAAATGGCTCAACAATCTCAAGGAAGTAATATGCAGATGTTACGAGTACCATGGATGCGAGCATGTACTCCGTTTTTGCTCTCGCCTGGCTGAACTTCCCCCTGGATTTCTCAGATATAAAGAGAACTCTCAAGGCTTTATAAGTATTTATAACAGAGCAAGCAATAAACTAATAGTAACTTTTAAAAAGAAAAATCAGGTTTGTAAACTTGTATGAGAAATTTGTGTGTCTGAAATTCATTGCCTCTATCTAAAGAAATTTCTATTTAGATATATGACCGTCCAGTAGGCAGTCCAGCGAAACCTAGCCTCCTACCTCGAAAGCCTAAAGGTCCACCAAGTGACCAACATATTGAAGACATATACCTTTGTAACTACTGTGATGAAGAATTCACCAGCGCCAAAAATGCTATTGTATGTATCAATTTGTTTCCTTTTCCTTTTTCTTCTTCTCATGTTATGTTAATTCTCTTTAGTTAATAAAACTAATCCCTCCCTGTTTTCATCTGTTTGTGATTGGACCTTTTCTTACCTCTTTCTGTTTGCAGCACCATGAGGGGGTCTGTAAAGGAAAAATTGATCAGGAGGACCAAAATCATGAAGTGGACCAGGTAATCACTTCTTCCACACTAACCAATTTTTTCAGAATATGTTAATTATGTAAATATATATTATGGTGGCTCTGTTACAGGTATCAGCAATGCGATACTTCGGGCTTGGTCCAACAGAATCTAATAAAAAAGAGGGAATACGGAATACATCTCTTCGTCTTACTGCCAGAAGCTATATGTCTATTCCAGTTTCATCTCCCTTAGGTCGAAAAATGAGCTCAAATGTAGCACCCTTGAAAGAAGTTGACAAAATGGTAAAGTAACTTTTGAATCCATTAATTGAAGAAAGATGCCATGTACTGTCGTATAATAACTTGTTGCACTCTTTTTTCTTGTAGGAGTACATTCAAAAGTTAGAAGGTTGTTGTGGCTCACGCAAGTTTTTGGATGAGCCGAAAAGAACACGAAAGTTTGGGGTTGTTCACCACAGAGCCCTACGTAAGAAATTTCAACATAGATGGACACATACATATTGTTTTAATAGAGCCCAACGCGAGGAAAGAAAAATCAACTTAGAGACAGGTACAGTTATTTTAGTTTTGTGAGGTATTTTAATAATCTTAACATTTAATCATTACTTCTTAGTTTCTAAATTTTTAGAAATATTTTCTTTTGTATGTTTTATTGACTTACTTTTTTATTTATTTCAATTTTTACAACTTGCAGGTCTAAATAAACAAGCTCGACTTCTTCTGAAAAAGTGCAAGAGAGCTGTTGTTCTTCTTGAGCGACTTCCCCTACTAGATCCATTAGCTTTGCATGCAGCTGCTGTTCTTGATTATCAAAACCGTTTAAATAGCCCTATATGTGAAGAACCAGTACATAATTTTATTGACTTAACAAGTGATGATGATTGTTGTGATAATGTAATCCGTAGAGAAAATTTTAGTTGTGAAGAAAGATCTTCTGATAGTTTTTTTAATAGCAGCTCTGACCACAAAAGACCTTCTATAAAGGAATGGAGTCCTGTTTTTCATAGATCACTGCCTCCTCCATCACTGCTCCCTATAGCCCCTGTATAGTGGATAAATGTATCCTTACTTCCAGTATTATTTGTTATCTAATTATCTAATTTTATATATTATGGAATATTGACTGATGGCATGAATTTTATTGTATACTCAAACTTCAATGGGGACCACAATATCCCCCCCCCCTTTTCCCCTTTTTTTCTCTTGTGGTGGCTTGGATGCAGCTCATAACATAGTTCAATCTGTACAGTATAGTTAGGTTTACAGCCACTTAAGGTGAAGAAATTTCAAAACCATCTTTTAATGATTATTTTTCAAAATTTACCTGATATTATCTTATTGCTTATTTTATTGATATGCATTATTGGAGATGCTTGCAATGCTCTGATTTGCTGAGGACACTGTTTTGTTATTAACTGGTTCATCCCATTTCATTTTCTTTATGCCGCTAATAAATTTTGGCAGTGTATTATAGACTGTGTTTTTGTTGCTATTCTATTTTTATGTTTTTGCTTGTACAACTAAATATCCAGATCACTTAAGTGAAACTGTTATAGATTATTCTTATGTCAAATGATTTTACGTTCTGTTTATTGCTAGATGTACATTGTTAACTTAGCAAAGTCCTTCCTCAGCGCCGATATGGTATTGCGTATTTGAAATGCATGTAAAAGGTTACAGATTTTTGACGCATTTAATGCGCGTAAAGCACATTATTAAGTGTGCGCGAAATGTGTTACCTTTCACTCTAATTTTCACGCGCATTGCCGCATTGGCGCCGCTGCTGGGACTTCTAAAAGACATTTAAAGAAAGTGAAGCACTGTGAAATAAAAAGATGCCTTCTAAGTAACCCTACTTTATTATTCTATCCTTTTCGAAAGCCTTGCCATGATGGTCCGAACGCATTGAATGCACGAAAGAGGTGACACATTTTGTCACGCATTAAAAGCGCGTCTTAGTATTTAGAGCGCTTCAAATGTGCGTAGAAATGCACATAAAAAGTAACGCATGCACAATACCTGGGCAGCCTCCTTCTGACAATAAAAAGGAATTTTTACAAACCGGCTTGTCTATTTATCATCTCACTGGAGAGGTGGAGTCGTGGAGCGGAGACAGGGGGAGAACGTGAGAGCACGCTCTCTCTCTCTATCTCCGTGTTCGCCTACCGTACCCGACGGACGCAGGTCCCTGGCACATTGCCCTCCTGCCCCACAAGCGGCAAACGCATTGAATGTGCTTCAACGCGCGTAGCAAAGCACGTAAAAGATGGTGACGCTTTTGAAGCGCATAAAAGCATTTAATGCGCCACCAATGTGTCCCCCCTTTCATGTGCGCTTCTACGCGCATTGGGGCGCATTCAACATGTTTGCGCTTCTGGGGTGCAAGCTGGAGAGCCCCTCGGAGAGCCCTCACTCAGCCTGGAGCGCCTCGCGGGTGAGCTGGCGCAGCTGGGCCGGGGCCCCTGCAGAAGAGCGGCTGGGCAGTCCCGCGGTGCACCGACGCACAACGGGACTGCCCACCCACCAGGCGCTCCGTGACTCCAGCTAGCGAGCTACTAGCGACGGACTGTGCCGCACGGCGCACTGGCGACGGCACGAAGGCCGGCAGAGGGGCAAAAGGGTTCCGCCGACGAGATTCGAACCAGGGATCATCTACGTACCACCCCTTCGCATTAGGTATCGCACGTCTGAAAACTCATGGCCAGTCGTGGCCAGTGGAGTGCGAAAAATATCACCATCACCCGGACGGGATTCGAACCAGGATCATGCCGTGCCGGCACGCTTCCAACTTAGCCACGAGGGAGCGATAGTGCGACTGCCTCCGACGACATCCTGATCTCAGCTGGCGCTGACGCCCGAAGACACATGACCAACAACAGAGCGGGAAAGATGTTCCACATACATGACTCGAACTACTAGTGACCATGCCCGCGCTCTGCCGACGAACACGCTTTATTTAGTACGCTCGACTGCCAGAGCCCACCCTTCCACGATGGCAGTTCTGTGCCCGGCACTGCGCAACGGGAGACTAGAAGTGACAAGTTTTGTTTTGGTCCGGCCGGGAGTCGATCTCTGAGCCGACAGTTTCGGTTAGGATTAAGATGCAGGGGGGCTCCCGCATGCACCCCACCATGCTGTTTGTCCGGGACCTTTCGACTTGTCAGTGATTATGTGCAGAGCAGGTCCTTGGCTTCTGCTTACGCCCTTGGCGCGTTGGATATCATTTATTGACCGAAAACGGATCTTCTATAGTCGGGTCGTATTAAGCTGACTCGAGCCGCCCGACTTGTGGCCAAATTTTTGGGGCCACAAACAGGGACGTAGCGACGGTTGCCCGCACCGCACGTACGTTACTTCCCGACTAAGTACACTGTGATTCCTAAAGGCAACTTTTGTGTCGGCCGGGGTATTTGTACAAAAAGATGCTCTGGTGAGGGCAACATGCCTGAGACGTCGCCCTGACCAGGGAGCCTCCAGTTTCCCGCAGAAAGGCAACATTTGCGCGGGCGGGCGCGACGACAGAACGAGCCGTGCGCGGGGATACTCCCGTCCCCCACCCAAAGGCAACTTTTTCTACCGCGCGCATGGGGAGTTTCGTTCCCCCGCGCACGGCGGCATCTGTGCGGGCGGGCGCGGCGACGGAACGAGCCGTGCGCGGGGATACTCCCGACGCTCACAGAAGGGCAACATTTGTGCGGCTAGCCGCGGCGACGAAACGCACCGAGAGCAGGGAGACTCCCATACCCCGCGCCGAGGAGCCTTTTGTTTTCCCGAGGCGAGGGATTCTCACACTAAATCTGAAAGGACTTTTCTTGTGCATAGAATGATGCGTTTTAGTGCACATCTAAACAAGATGCAAATTTGATTCAGGCAAGTGACAAATTTGTATCTATTTTGATGGACGGAAAAATATTGTCCACCAGTAAGATGATGATTCGTCTTTTGCTAGATTCAAATCTGCATCTCGTTGAAATGTGCACAAAAACGCGACTTTCTACGGACAAACAAAGTCATTTCAGATTAAGAGTGTAGTCTCGTTAGTCACAGAACAATTTTCGTCGGATTGGCCTGTGCTGCTATCGGCTGCTAGGATAGGGAACAAGTCACACCAAGTCTCCCCACACGGACGATCCGATACTTAGGTGACATGTGTATAACTAGAGTGATCAGTTGTGCGGCCGGCTCCCCGCCCCGGGCCCCACCTCTCCCGGTTCCCGGGTCACTAGAGGCACGGTACAGGTACACAGTTAAGAAACACAAAAATGTAGAAACTACTGATTTAATGCAATAACGTCAGTTGCACAATGCAAGAATATCGGGATGGTGAGTGCTGGGC